TTGCATTTGTGTGATATCTTTTTTCCTACAAGTGAGCAAAAGCGTATTAAAAAGTTGTTTTCTGAAGAAAATTAGGGGAAATACTTCCAGATTTTGTAGTTGTGTATTCGTAAGTTAGAAAGGCATATTTGTCTTAAAGAGCTGCCCTTCGTTTCAGATATTAAATCTAGGCTCTATTTGCTTTTGTTTATTGTATTTGTGTGTTATCTGTTTGTTGTACAAGTGAAGAGCGTATCAAAACAGTTATTTTCTTTGCAAAGTTAGGGAAAATACTTCCAGATTTTGTAGTTTATTCGTTACAAAGGAAAAGTAATCGTTTGTCACAAACAGCTGTCCAGACATTAGGTCTAAGCCCCATTTCCTTGTTTTGATTTGTTTGGAAGTGAAAATGGAATCCATTTTGCCCTTTTTCTGCTATATGAAACAAAAACAAGCACAATACTTGCAGATGTTAAGTAACAATGTTTCAGTTATAGACCACAATAGTTTAAAGGAACCCTGAGGTGCCAGAACAAGTATAGCTTTAGTCTTGTAGTCTTTGAAAATGAAATTCAAATTCCAACCAAATGCATATTTCTGTTGATATTGTCTGCTAATGCTGCGAATTTGCTTAGTCTGGGTTCCCTGTGTAATTAGCACGGATCATGGGTTTCCTGCGGTTTTATGACGTCAGATAAGCTTAAACCTACATTTAAAGCTATACTTGTTCTGGCACCTCAGGGTTCCTTTAAAATGAGATTTTTTTTATTTGTTCTTTTAGAGCAAAACGAATTATATCAGCCCAGCTGTAAACGCAGCCGTCAAGAGAAATGTGTAATTCATTTGATGATACAGGAAAGGTTGTAGCACCAAAAGATTCAGAGTCCTGGCAGGTTTTACTTAAAACAGCTACCATACGGCAGTATGCCCCTCTACTAAACCTTCAAACAAGTTCCCATGAAATTCCAAATGATATTTACTACCATAGAAAATGCACAAGCATATTCACTATTAAAAGAGAGCTTGAGAAGTTAACCGCGGTAAACAAAGAAGATGACGAGGAAATAGAAAATTTTCTAGAGAGAAGAGTAAGTCAGCGAAGACCATCAACTAGTGTAAGAGTATATGAGAGTATTTGCATATTTTGTGACAAAGACAGCAAATACATGAAAGGCAATGTACGTGAAAAATTAATCAAATGCTCCGATTTGCGAAGTGACGAAACAATCAGAAAAAACGCAACAGCTAACAATRATACAAAAATTCTAGCCATTGTTTCCAGAGAGCTTGTTGCTGCAGAGGCATGTTATCACAGGTCTTGCTACAGAAATTACACTCGTCCCCGAAAGAATTCAAATAACTCTGTAAATAACTGTTCTGAGTCAGAAGAAGATATCGTATACAACCGTATTGAGACACAGGGATTGGAAAACCTTYATGACTATATCAGACTCGACCTATTGGAAARCCCTCAACTGATACGATTCACGCAGATAGCAGACACTTTGGTAAAGTTCATGCAAGAGCTAGGCGCTAAAAAAATCAGAGAATCGACCAAGACWCACCTTAGACGAAACCTTGAAAAGCAGTTTGGATCACTTCTGCAGTTTGAAGATTTACTTGGAAATAACCGACTCTTTGTTATTCCACACAACTTATCGAAGATACAGCTGGCAARGGAAGTTGTAGRACTTTCTGAACAACTAAAAGCTTCTTGCAGTAATCCYAGAATGGAGTCTGTCCGCCAAGCAGCTCTAAGCATCCGAGAGTCAATTCTCTCTGATACCAATGAGATGTCTTGGCCGCCGAAGCCATCAGAGCTTATCGAAGAAAATGTTAGGATACCAGAAAACTTGAAGACATTCCTTTCTACGTTGCTGACTGGAAAAAGTGATTGCGTAAAACTTCCAGAGAGAGTTGATCGCCTTGTAAAATCCTTTGGGCAGGACATGATTTTTGGTGCTAGTGGTGGCCGTCAAAAAACCCCCAAGCATCTCCTTCTACCCCATGCTATTAAGACACTTACAAATAATGTGGAGCTTATCAGGATTATTAATCGTTGTGGACATGNGGTGAATATACATTTTATAAAGATATAACATTTCATTGACTTAGTTGTGATTTTTGGTGCATTTATATATAGTAGTCACATGTTACTCTACAATGTGATTATACGCTTGCTATCTTTAGGTGTACACATGAGGAGGCTGATACAAGGCTAATCCTACATGCTTACCACGCAGCAAACAGTGGATGTCCTACAGTTGTGGTATCATCTGATGACACAGATGTTTTCATTCTCTGCCTGGCATATAAATGTTCCATTCAATCAACACTATACATAAAGTGTGGAACAACGTTACGAACAAGATACATAGACATTGAACAAGTGATACAGTGCCACGGTTTAGAGCTATGTCGGTGTCTGCCTGGGCTGCACGCATTCACTGGCTGTGATAGTGTGAGTGCCTTTTGTGGGAAAGGCAAATTAATTCCATTGAAGTTAGCGAAAAAACACCCTGAATTCAGAGAGCTCTTTCAGACATTTGGAGGTCAATGGGAAGTTTCTGAAGAGCAATTCAATCTCCTTCAAAAATTTACTTGCAAGATGTACTGCTCCAATCCTGGCACGAATGACGTAAACGACTTGAGGTATCGCCTTTTCTGTGCTAAGAAAGGAGAAATTGACTCGAGTCAGCTTCCACCTTGTTCTGACACACTCAGAAAGCATTGCATTCGTGCAAATTATCAAGCTGCTGTTTGGCACCGGAGCTTGCAGTGCTGCCCGCAGATTCCCTCACCAGATGGTCATGGCTGGAATCAGGATAGTGATGAGCTAAGCATTGACTGGATGAATGGAGAGCCAGCACCTAAAGCTGTCTTAGAGCTGTTATCCTGCCAGTGCAAGAAAACCTGCGAGCTACCAAGCTGCACMTGTCTTTCAAATGGACTACAGTGCACCGATATGTGTAAACTACAAGAATGTGCAAACAGAGAACTTAAGATGATGAGAGCGATGATGATGATGATGAATAGAATTACACCAGCATAAAAGTAAAAACAAAAAAACAAAAAATGTAAAAAAATGTAAAAAAAAGATAGTTTCTAAGTAAGATAACACCAATCTTTCAAATCTAGGTTTGAGAACACAGTACGTGATAATAGCTTGTTGTATACGTTTCATAAGGTTAAGGTTATAATGTGCATATTTTTGCACCAGCAGAATATCATAAGTGTCCTAGTCTCAGTGATAAAATATGTCAATAAAAGACAAAAATGTAAAGAAAAACGTTAAAAAATATGAATTTCAAGAATTAAAGAACTTGAAGATTTGTTGTCATGGCAACCAAATGATARAATGAGTATGTGCATCTCACACCTTTTAAAAAGCATGGTACATTACCACTGTAGTGTGATAAAACAAAAAAGGTATATAAAATCAAAAAGTAAATTGGTTTTCATCCTTCATTTTGTCATTCTAATAAAATATTGCGATATCAATGACGTCACTTTACCACGTGATTTTGGCATGAAAGCTGTACATACAGCATTGCTATCATACATAGAATTAAACTAGAGGAAACAAGGTTTTTAAAAATGYATGATAACATTTGTCCTCTCGTTTGGTAAGAAATTCGAAATTTTGGGGTCTTGGCTCATGGACTATAAATAATGATAATAATAACAATAATAATAATAACTTTATTTTTTCACAGGTAAAAAACATCAGTTAAATTTAAATATATATCAATTAATAAAAAGAGGTTACTGATTAACGTTAGCCAGGAGCGAATCTGAGTTAAAAAACAAACAAACTGTTTCTGACTAGAAAAGAACTCTATGCACCAGTCTGTAATTAACCCAATATCTTATGGACAACCATCTATGGTGCCATATGTATCAAAGTTTTTTTTAGTACCAAGTATTTTTCAGGGATTGGTGACTTACATGAATGGTATGGTATGTTTTTTGTGGTTATCATATTCAGTTAACAAGAGGTACAGTTAACATGTATGCACTGTACTATGTAACAAAAGTGTATTTACCTCAGAACCATTGTTGTCTTCTAATGCAGGGTATTCTTTCAAGAGCTGAAAGACTCTTAAGTTTGAAAGTAGAACACCCGAGCAGCAAAATGCCCTGGTAAGGCAGTTAGTCACCACTGTGCTTGCACACACTGGTAGTGTAACCCACTTTGAAAGAGAGCATCTTGCATTGGAGTTAATCAAAAGGTATCCTTGCCTTAAGGGATCCTTGGGTTCAGGTCATGTAAGTGAATTATTGTTATAGTTTATTAAATACAATTGAAACTTGCATGGAGTTTTATTACATGGTGATAAATTACAATACATGAATTTTTCATTCTCGAAAGTCTTTTAAAAATCAGTTTTTGGTTTTAGCAATATTGGTCAAAGAAAATTGCAAACAGAGTGGCAAATGTGGTCAAAAGAGCCAACAAAGTGGCTAAAAAGCAATTATATGAAGATTAGGGTGATGTCCCTAAAGAGAAACCAGGTAGGAAAAAAAATCTCTGGCTACAGCTGTACCTGCCATTCCGGATGGAGAGACGGAGGCCACAATTGGTGAGCAGAAGCAACAAATGAAACTGCTTTTTGACAGCAAAAAGCCTGTAGATCTCGCTAAAGTCAAGACAATGATGGACAGCACCTACTGCATAAGAAGACGGGATGTTAAATGACCCTTCTCTAAACCCTGTTTAACATCTGGCTCCCACTGCAAAGTAATAAGGTTGATTAATTATTATTTCCAATGAAATATAAATTTCACAAGTAGCAATTAAGATTCAAAAAGTATGGATATGTAAAAAAATGTACTTGCAGTTTTTTCTACATGCATAATTAATTCTATACAGTCTGTATACCTATAGGGTCACAAGTTTTGAAATATGTATATATTGCAAAACTTCTGACCCTATAGGTATACAGACTGTATAGAATTAATTTAACTATTATATCATTGAAGAAAAAGACCAGAAACTTTTCACCAAAATCACGGCTTCAAGTTACTTAGCGCATCCACTTGAGAAACATCAAAAACATTATCCACCATAAAATTTAGTTTCTTCTACAGCTACATGTATAAAACAATTTACCCTTGTAGGAATAGAAAACTCATTTAACCAACGTGGGTTACTCTTTGATTGAGATGTGGATGCAACTGGAGTTTCCTGAAGAGTTAATTGTATTAATTACTTATAATGGTTGAATTGAAATACACAGTATGTGCAGCCTTGTCTAAAAAAAACCCTGTCCTTCATTAGTGTTAATAATTAATAATAAGTAAAAATAATTTCACACGCAGATTTACAAGCATGACTTCTAGTTACTTCTGCTGCTCTACTTTTGAGTGAGTCACCTTAAATGCATTTGGAATCAATAATTGAGAAATTATAAATTATTATTACTGTTACTTGGAAATCAAGCTCTCCAAGTTCTGTATTAAACAACAATTGCAAGTCACACAATTGTCCAGCTATTTACCTATTTCTCTAAAGGACTACACCTTGCTTTCTTTCTTGGGCTAGTTCGCTTGGCCTGGGGTGTATTAACAACTGAAAGGGAAGGACTATGAACCCTCTTTCTTTGGCTTGTGCAGGGAGTGCTTGGATTGGTCTTCTTTCTTGGGCTAGTACGTTTCTTTACAGGGGACTCACTCAGATCCTCACTGCTAGAAGAGATTATTTCTGGGATTGTTTCCTATTTACGAAAACAATAAAAAAATGACCGATGAACTGTTTGGTACATGGTGATATACCCATTTCTGATCTCTACTGTAGATTTTGAAATAATAATGTTCTCCAACAATCCCAATACAAGATGATATCATTAATATTATCTTAAATTATTTTGATTTGATTAAAATGTAGAGGAAATGTATCCAATGAACAGATTTACGGGCGAGTCACCTATAACTTCTGCTACTCTGCTCTCAGTCTATGAGTCACCTTAAGAGCAGTTGAGACACTTAGATGGAAGAAAGATCAGACAATAACAGAAGAATATTAAGTACATTAAGCTTATTAACTTAGTTACAAAGTACATGTATACAAAGGAAAACTCAATATCAAATTGAGTTGGTTCAAACGCTACTTAGCCAATGAAAGTTTGAAATTATTTGGTCCATTTAACGCTTTCACTGAATCGAATTTGGCTTAACCCAGGTTGAACATCTTATCAAGATCTTGGAAGATCATGGAAGATCTTACAAGATCTTGGAAAAGCCTTTGGCAAGAAAACTTCTTGTCAAAATCTTGGAAAGATCATGCCATAAATTTGGCATGATCTTGATAAGAATTAAGCAAGATATTTCATCCAGACCTTGTCAAGATCCTGGCAATTTTTTTCAAGATCTTGACAAGTACTTACGTGAAAAGTTAACAAAGATCTTGGGATCATCTTCCATGATTCTGACAAGATAAAAACATGATCTTACGATGATCTTGACATGTTTGTGTAAACCTTATCCATATTATCTTGTAATTAATCATGGCAAGAGCTTAGCATGATCTTGGCATAGCCATTGAAATGTTCATCCATGATCTTAATAATGACCTTACAATTATCTTACCATGATTAAACAAAGATATTGGCATGATCTTGGAAATATGAACAACATCTGAAAAGTGCTCTTAACAGGATTTTTATACGAAATGAC